AGAGTCACCCGACATGATGACCAGCCAAATTCATTTAAGCTTTGTCATGTCTTGTTTCTAGCTGGTCAAATTTATAATATAAATAACTCTTAAAACAAGATTCCATGAACCAAAAGTGGTGATATCTATTTCTGAAAAAGTTGTTGCCTAGAGCTTATAGCACTTTAACACACTCATCTTCAACAACAAAAACAAATTACGATAGCAAAATAAAAATAAGCTTACATGTAAAAATAGGATACGCTGTCTAAAAGACTAACCCGTAACACATTAAACATCATTTTTGAACACATTAAATTTGCCTGGTGCCTCCAAATATAATGACTTCTGGTATATGTATTATGGTGTGAGATCTCAATCCTAAAACTCTGCCAATAATCCATGTAAAACCTTTTATGTCTATAGAGTATGTTATGCACAAAACAGATAAATACATAGATAAACTTGCAAAGAGTGGAATAATGATTGGTTTCAAAAAGTATAATTCCTTTGCATTATACTTTGCCTATATTTATTCTGGGCTGAGGAATTACATAATATGCAAGGAGAAATGTTATACTTGAAAATGAACCAATATCTTCAATTTTTTGAACGGAAGTGTGCAAACCCTGACGTGTACAAATTGTAAACAACAATTTTAAGTTGTGCAATACACAATGACTTGCTACATTTTGGTAACAATTGAAACAACTAAACAGCATGGAAACTTAAATTTGTTTAGTTTTCAATGTGACGGAATGTGACCTGTCAACATGACCAGCGAGCCGACAGGTTGACCAATCAAATCCCAAAATACTCCCAACATTATTGGTTGACTGACGCTTATTTCAAGCCCTATTGATAAGATTTTTTACTCCTGTGCTTCAATAACTTAGGAGAAATAACAAATTCATATCTGCACTCTGCCATAAAAAATCCTCTGTAAAACAAATGACGTGAAAATTTACCTGATCAGGTTTTTGGTTTTGATTCTTGGTGCTTTAACACCTCCTCCACAAATACTTGAACCTGTGATTAGAATGCCCCTTGAAAAAAAGAAATAGAATAAGGTAATAATGATACTAACTACATTAAAGCAGTTGACAACTGATTGGTTTCATTTGTATGCTGCTTGCACTGTTCATTTGCTTTCATTTGTGAATTAAACCTCGGTATCTCACCATTCTACAAGAGATAACGAGCAGTTCTTTCGGTTGGAAGTGTTTAATTTGTAAAATTTTGCATCACGTAAAGAAAGCTCTTTCGCCAAACTGCTAAATACTTAATCTTAAGCATGATTCTAACTTTTCACATGTGGAATATTTCAGCGCTGAAGTGATTAACTTTACTACTCATGAGAATATTTTTCCCTCTAAATAATACTCCTCTCTCTTTGATTAGTTGAGAGAATTTGGTGCTTCATCAAGATGATACCCCCTAAGTGATGAGTTTGTCTCTGCTCATTGACTATTGGTTGGGTAATGTATCAAAACTGTCATAAGAAATTGCATGTTAATCACTCCCGGTAGTAAACGAAGAACTTACCAAGCAGCACCAACCACAGACAGAGAAATAGCCAGTCCTATTCCAAGAGAAGCCCACATGAAAGGAGATGTCTCCTCCAAAAACCTGTTAAATGACAAAGGCTTCAAATTAAAGACTGTGCTTCTTTCTTTGTCCCAAGCCCAGGTTTATAGCAGGAAAAATTGAATCCAACTTAACCCTTTCAATAAATTCAATTGAGTTAGACAAACAAATTATCATTTAGACTAGCAGTGTATTGCATATTGCATGTTGCATTGCAAGGATTGATTCAGGGCACTGATTGGATTGTCTTCTTGGTGCACTTTGGAGAACAAGGAATGAGAAAATAAGAACAATTGTGAAGCAACAGAATGTATATAAGTGACCATGAAACCTGCAGTTTCGCCTGATTCCCTTAAGAAATGAAATTAGAACACATATAAATAACAAAATTAGAAAGCTTCCTATCTACATCTAAATCTAAATTTATTAATTTACAACGCTTTCACATCAATATGAAACTAGCATGGATGTTAACAACCCTTGATCTTAAACTCGCTTTGTTATGACGTTAAATTAGTTTCAGCGTCGTACTGATCCCTTGTCACCGAATGTAGATATGTATTTTAGGCGTTATCACTGCAACCAAATTACTGAGTAACTAATTCACCGTGTTACTTTCGCGAACAAATGTGAATCACACATCAAGTATCATGACAACTGAATCAGGAAGGAAACTCTCTAACAACTTACCATCCTATATCAAATCTTGTTCCGAGGCCAGAAAGATTGTAATACAACCCTGTAGGAAATTGATAACAAAACATTATTAAGCCGCCATCTTGAATGTTTCGCAAAGGACACCAGAGACCTCAAAAATCAGTAACTCACCAACACAAATCAGGATAAAAAGGCTCAAAGCGTACACTATAGAATAGTAGCCTAGATTGTTACTCGCTACGTAAGGCATGACTGATTTTAAAGGTTTAAAAATAAAGTTTTCCTAAAGATGACTCATTTCGATTCATGTGACAACCTGTTTTTTTTATATTCAGCCCAGTTTGACGCGGTCGAGTCAAGCGGAAAGAAAACTGGGGTGAACTCGCCAGGTGACACTTTCTATAACTCGCACTCGACTTGTAATGTTATGACCTCTCTCTCGTATCACTTTCTGTTTTCTCCCAAAGACGGAACACGCAAGAAAGATAATTTGAAATCTAACTCTAACAAATGATAGTGTGGATCTTAAAAGCTCCGAGACCGCTCCACTCTATTCCGTTTTCCAATATCTTTATTGTTCAAATTTCAAAACCATAAATATCCCGATCTTAGATGTCAACACGACCAAAAAAGAAACCTTCTCCGGCCTGGTAACTATCGGCACTTTCAATTAAAAAAAACCGCTAAGTTTTAACCTCGAGCACTCCAAGCTGGTTTCTGCTTATCCTCAACCGAAAAAAAGACTGAATTATCAAAATAGGATAGAATTTAAATAATACTTTAATCGGTATGTTTGGATACAAATTGACGGGCTATACTGTACTAGTGCTCTCACGCACATTTAAATATGGTAATAAATGAATTACATTTAAAAGCATAACGAATTGACTGGAAGAATCATCTCTTCAGCTTGGATCTGTGAGAGGAAAATCAGAGTTTTAACTTCAAAACTCTTCATCTGTGGAATTTTCCGAAAACATAAATCCTTAAATCCATTACGTTGACTGAGAACAGACAATTCATTGAGAAAAACACATATATCATTACACATGGAGGTTTTAACGACTTATTCGCGTTACTATGGAAGCCTTGGTTTCTTCTCAGACGCTTGTATTATGAGTTTGCCATTTTTTCCAAATTAGTTGAAGTGCTTGAGGGCTGCCTTTCACTTTACTTAACCGGGACAGACTATTAGTGAACGAATACGAGAACTTTGAGAAGGTAATTTAACATTATTTAGCAAAGAAATCTATTGTTAGGATTTTTAATACTATGTACGTTTTAAAAATTTGGACTTGTAATAACTGAACGCCAGTAGGTAATTTTGTCACAGGGTTGTGATGTCACATATGTTATTTAAGACCAAGGCATTGCTACAGCAAGAAAGAAGCAACTTTTAGAAGTGGTTTTCCGGTAAGAAAAACAGATACAAGTTTTCACAATTGTAACAAAAACTTGGCTCATTTGGAAGAGGAAAAGTTAGATTCCATCGTGGAAGGATAATTTATTCAAATGATCACGTCTAGCAATGCCACAAAACTTAAAGAGTATCTCCTAAAAGGCATAATCACCGGGTTTGGAAAATAGTCGCAGTGTTGACCTTATTGTCAAGGCAATATTATATAATTTATTATAATTTATTCACACGTCGACTGCGACCCGTGTGAAAATATGCTGTTTCAATATCATGTTTTTTAAAGTGACTGAGCGTGCTATTTATGGAAAAATCGCCGGAACAGAGTTATCAGAAGGAAAAAAAGTATTGTCTTTCCTTGGAAACCAAATACTTTATCTGTTTCTATTATTTTACATATACTATTTTTAAGTCGAACCCCCGGGAATAAAACACCTTAGGGTCTTTTAACTCATGAAATGATAGTCTACAACATCATCAAGTTGGATTGCTGATATCGTGATTGCGGATATTCTTAAATAAGTCAGTCTAACTGAATGGTTAGATCGCTATATTAAATCATTCAGAAGTATGCATTGCTGGCCCAGCTTGTCTGAGACAAAAGAAGACTAAGACAAAGGACAAAAAGGAACGGGGCCAAAATTCAGCCATCTTGACAGGACAAATTTGGTCAATGGAAGGTTGACTGCAAGTCCACTAGAATATATCCAGCTACAAAGAGCTGCGCTCAAATGTAAATACAATTACAATACGATTATTACGAAGTCATCATCAGGACAATGAAATAAAATTGTACTGGTTTGCAATTAAAATTACAATTAGTTACAGAATAAACAAAAGTTATAAGGATGTTGTTCTCAACAGCCTGAGATTCTCGGCTTCAGTCGTTTAAGGAACCTCGTATTTAACCTAAAATAATTCATCCTTTAAATCCTACGAATGACCAGCATGTACTTTCTCCTCACAGTACTACTGCTGAATTATTCATTAAGATCATGAGAATATGGGAAACGATCGCCAACCTAAGAAGCTTTGATTGTTAACCAAATTCTTCTTCCTAGTACCAAAGGAAATGTATAGAGAAGAGTATAGAGAAAATGGATACTGATGTTTGGGTGCAAAGGGTTAAAGATTGTTACCTCAACTTCGCATCTGTTTATTATCATTTTCAGATTCTATTTCTGGTGTTTATAGAGTCAAGGTATGGTGTTAGTTGGCGCGCGTCTTCTGTTCCGCTTCTTGATTGCATTTCTAATGCTCATGGGAGCTATTTCTACATACATGATACTTCAAACTAATCACATGGTAAGCCGGAAAGTGAAAAGTTTTGAAGATCAGCCGATCGTTCTCGACCAACAAGTCGAGGAAGTAGTTAAGATGACGCAGATGGCGTCCGAAATTCCGCCGACGACGAAACCCGACAGAAGACGACGAAGCTTAGTGATTTTCGGTGATGATCGTTCAGGCACGACACTGCTGACGCAAATGTTTAGCAAAGATCCAGATATTTTTGCAGTGTACGAACCGTTGTGGATAACAAGAAAATGGAGTAAAACAGAGTCAGACAGAAATCTGTTAAAGGACGTTACAGAGGTGGTAGGAGCGTTGATGACTTGTAATTTCGTGGAGAACCCAACTGGAATTAAATTTTTGTCCCACACCTACAAAAACTGGGCACCTGGATTATTTGTAAACCCGTTCAAGTCTCAACCGATATGTAACGATCCTGATGCCTGCCCAAACCCCGAAACAATCCCGGATGTGGTACAAAAAGCCTGTTTACAAAATTACAAACACAGTGTCACAAAAGTGGCTATCGTTCGCGTCCCAGAAAGAAAACTCTCCAACATTTTTCAGAAGATAATCGAGGATAATCCAGATACGTTCATCAAATTTTTGCACGTTGTTCGCGATCCAAGAGGAAGCATAAATTCCAGGATCAATTTAGGATGGATACCAGACGTTGACAAAGCAAAAAATTTTGCTGGTTTGGCTCGGAGCACATGCGAAGGGGTTCTACAAAATGTTCAGTTCGGGGCGAGTCTCCAAGGAAAATTTAAAGACCGTTATATGCTTGTTCGATACAAAGACATCGCGTCTTCTCCCCTTGTGACAGCCATGAATATTTATAAGTTTGCTGGGTTTGAAATATCAGAAAGTATGATCAGATGGCTCATGCAAGCAACGAACCCGAGCAAAGAAATTCTTAAACAAGAAGGGAAACGAGCGTTTTCATCGTTTCGAAATTCCACCGCCAATGTTGAGAAATGGCGACAGGAGTCACCTGTAAGACGGGTTCAAACTATCGAAGAAGAATGCAGTGAGCTGATGGATTTACTGCATCTCGAAAGACTTTCTTAAAAATTTATAAAATTTATTTTATTCAACACTAGTCATCTAATCAGGGTCATAGCCGACTCTTTTCTTAATACTTCGACCCCATAGAGCGACTTTCATTTAAAAAATTTCTCTCTCTACTATCGCCCCTGAATCACGCACTAAGGTCAACAGAAAAAAGGAAATGATCACCAGCTGAAGAAGCTCTTGATTGTTCAACAAATCCTCCTTGTCAGCACCTAAGGAAGTGTATGGAGAACAGTTGGGAGAAAATGCACACTGATGTTAGGGTGTAAAGGGTTAATCTTAACATCATATCTCCTTCTCGTCTGCCACACACGTCTTGTTTACTTATTATCAGACTAAGGCCATTTTTGAAATCATTGGCTATTCGCAGTGCGATTAATCACGAATCTGACCAATATTTTGATGCTGTTAATCGCATCGTTTACCCACCCAAAAAGAATGGAACTCTAAAAAAAACCAAACTAACGAATTAGGTAACAAGACTCTTTTAAATAACCTATCACATCGCAAGAAAATGAAAGACCATTAATAACCATTAGAGGGGATTAAAATGGGTGACTTCAAAACAGTCGAAACCAAGAAACCCCGCTTTTGAATCGTGAATTTGGTCTCAAATCGTACACCACCGAGTCTATTTTGAAATATATGTATGCATTTTACATTCATTAATAACGTTATTTGCATGGTGACTTTTGTCTTGTGCACACACTAGCTCTAATTCAGATTTATGGCTAATTTAAAATAAGCGATCTGAGATGTAGTCGAGTTACCCAACATCATAATCTTATGTGATAGTTTTTCCAAATATTTCTCTATTGTGTCAGTGAGCTACCCTTAAAGTGGATGTCTAAATTACACATTAGAAACGTTTAAATATTCATATATACTGTACAACTGAGATGAAGTCGCGTAACTAAAGAAAACGTCTCAAAATCAAATTAGATGAATTTGCAATCACATTTTTACCAGAAATATATATTAAAATCTATTTTAAAAATGCTCCGCACTTGTAAGGTGAACAGCCGTGTCGGCAACGTCAACAGAGTTACTAGGTAACCCAGATATCGATGCAAAAATGCTGGGTTCTTTTGTCATCTAAGTTTTAATATCTGAATAGTTAGTCTCATTTGGCTTTCCATTTACCTCCAAGCGGTGAATAGTACTCTTAAAGGTTATGGTCTTTAAACGAATTATCTTTTGGGCTCCCCCTAGGGCCGCGCTAAAATTTTCGTTCAGTAACTGACTTTTACCAAAGGTTTGAACCTGCAGTTTGAGTTTGAACATCAAGGAAAAGTTGGTTTGCTTTACAATGTTTTAATATTAGATGTGAATAGGACTCACAAGAAAACGACAGAGCCCAACACAGAAATATTTACATTCCATATACGAGACTTAACAGATCTTCCTACGAAAGGTAAGCCAACTTTTTCTTTTAAAAAGAACAGTGTTTTTCTTAGGTTGTATATATGGTACAAGCTCCGTAACCAGTTCCTTGAGTTCGAATAAAAGCCCATTACGTTTAACTGTGTATCCTATTAAACATAATCAAGGAAATGCAAATAATAACTAGCTCTCTACATAATCCATGAAGAAAATCATCAAATATACTCAAGTATTATCCACAAAATAGGCAGCAAAAATATCTGTAAACACTGAAAATTAAAAAAAAAAATCATACAAAATCACAATAAGTTATGCCATACCTCAGGGTTCTCATTAAGAAATGTAATGAAGGAGGAAAATGTGAAATAACAAGAATATTATCCACTGTGATCTGAGTAAGAAATAGCTTAAAAATACTACAAATGTATTTATTACAAATAAACTAATTAATGTATATTTTTGCCATTATTCATTCATCTTATAATGTGCACCTGAATTATTAATTCCATTACATTGTAATCAACACGCACGGCACTAATACTAGCCTACTTGTCTCGGCCTCATAATGCATTAATCACCGGAGTGAATATGTGTATTTTGGTCGTTTAATTATTTAAAATCATATTTTGCGCTCAGTAATTTAAAATGCTTAAATAAAATTTGTGTTGATAATATATAAGAAAATGAGATTACAAAAAATATGAGTAGAAATGAGTCAATTGATTTAAATGAGCTTTTAAATGAAGTAATTAAAGAAACCAAGCTTTTAAAATCAATTTTAAGTGAAATATATAAAAGCATTAATACACCGAGAAAAAAGGAAAATGTTCTTCCGAGAGGAAATTGAATTAAATAAACAACTGAAAAAAGCCTATTCCTTTACCAAGAAAAAAACCTGTTCTTCTATCAAAACCTTTGTTACAAAACCACTTACTGATGAACAAATAGAAAGAATTGGAAGTAAATAGAAGATTCGTTAAGTGATGTTTTGTGTAATTGAAAATACACAAACAATAATATAAAATTAACGATAAAAATTTATGATAAATTCACAGATGCAAAAACACATTTTACAATAAAGATAACCAATGATAAAAATAAAGATTCATTAAAACTCATTGGAATTGATTCAAAGTTATATCATAACTTAATTTGAAGAAAAGTACATTTGCAATACAAGCATTAAATACTAAAATGCCACCAAGATCAATATAATTACACGAACTTAAATTTATATAAATAAATCCCTAAAAAAGTCTTGTTTAGAAAAACCTTGAAGAAGAAAAATGGAATTGAACAAACTGTACGATAACTATCATATTAAAATTACTTTGTTGCAAAAAAAGCATATAAAAATATTGTAAGTAGAAAATTATAGCAGAAGTTATGAGTGTTATATTGGCAGCAGGAGGAATAGTTTCAGCAATTACGACAAAAGGTATTGCTCTTTGTATATATTATGACAGAAATACTTTTAATTAAAATATTTTACGCTTCATTATCACGCATGAAACAAATACATACTTTATTCAAATTGAAAACAAAACGCGAAAAAAATTACTTGAAAGATTCTCACGCTATCGTTTATAAATGGATTGATGTAAAATACACTGTAAAAATACGTATATTCACTCCAATTATGAATGCATTATGGGCGTGCCGAGGCGTTCTGGGAAGACAATTAGGCTATCGTTGGTGCTGCGCGTGTCGATTAAAATTTAATAACATGACTTTAAATCTATGTGCACTTCATAAGTGGCATAAATAATGGCCAAAATATACATTATTAAGTTAATTTATAATAAATTTCCTATTACAATTGATATTAGTACTACTAGTTGGTATAAAAATACCAAATAAAGTTTACACATTAAATAGGATATTAGCGCACTTAAAATACAATAAGAATTACTACTTAAATGTTTAATTTACAGCAGATTTATTAAATATTGAAAAAGGCATTTTTGTAGGTTAAAGTGTAATAATGCACTGGTGCACCCATAATGCATTCATCAATTTGTTTAGTAGTCTCGAGCTCCTTTTGTGGGCGATAATTTTTTTCTTACTCTCATGACCTGATCCCATGTTTGAATCACAAGTGATACTGTAAGGAAGAAATACTTGCTAGTCACTCGTAGACGTCAAATTTTCCGATCTCTGATACCTAATAGACATGGTTACCCTGAGATATTTTGCGCGATAAATACGAATCTTAAGGTGAGTAATAAGGTTAAAAAATACAAGTGAGAATCGGGACATTCCATAGTTTACCACTTGTAAGCGACCAATTTACAACCATGACATGGAAATTACAGTAGTTAACACACTCAGAGCAACATACGCACAAGTTTCATTTTGAACAGCTTTTAACTGGCTCCCAATTGTCTACGATCTTGACAACCTCTTCAGATCTTTTTAAAGTAATCGGTAAGGCTGGTTAATGAAAATTCCTGATACAGAATTAAAAAAATATATATATACATGCATATATACATACGCATATATATATATATATATATATATATATATTTATCTGAAGGTTGAACTAATCAATAAGATATAACTTTTTCTGTGACTCTGAGTTTCACGCTTACGCGATCATCAGACATATTTTAAAATCTGTCTAATGATTTTAAAATGTGTCTGATGATCGCGCAAGCGTGAAACTCAGAGTCGCAGAAAAAGTTATGTCTTATTGATTAGTTCAACTTTCAGATATACCACGCTCTGAAAACGCATCGAGCACCATGTATATATTTCCCTTTGTTCTGATTGGCCGTAGCAATTTCTTTGGTCTTGGTATAACGACACAATGAGAAAGCGCTCTAAACTAACTCTTTATTGCTATTGCTCTATTTTGCAGCAGAAACCCAGACGATGAGGCATTTCCGCTGCGGTGTACGACTACTAATCGTTGTGATCACCGGGTTGGCAATTGCAACGGTTGCCGTTTTACTGCTTCAAAGCATTCAGCAGATGACGATTGCAGTTCCCGTGGAAACTAGTGAAAATCTCCAGATACAAGATTTTATTGACGAAATGACAAGAAGTACTCCGTATGAAGCAACAGCTTTGGAAAAGAAAGATTTGAGATTTAGTCCTGCGGCAACATATAATACTCTCAATAATTTTCCATTAAATCCCACGTCAACATCGGATTCTTCCGAACGGAGACGAAGTTTGGTCGTCTTCGGGGCAGACCGTTCGGGAACGACTTTTATCAGCCGAATGTTTAGCCAAGACCCTCAGGTATTCATGATCTACGAACCCCTCTGGGTAACGAAAAGGTGGAGGAAAACCGAACCACATCGAGACTGGTCGAGAAGTGAGCTGGAGGTGATAAATGGAATAATTAGCTGTAACTTTCCAGATTTTCCTATGGCAACACAATTTTTGGCCCACGCGTCACGCAACTGGGCAGCGGCACCGTTCAAAAATCCATTCCAAACAGTAAACTTCTGCAACGTTTCCAAGACTGGTAAGAGCATGTGCCCTAACCTCTATCTCGCGCCGGAATTCGCCAAGGAGGCCTGTGCAACGAAATACAAGCACAGCGTTACTAAAGTAGCCCAGGTTCGTGTGCCTGACCTAATGCTTTCTAGCATCGTGCCGCAGGTGTTTATAGAGAACCCGGATACTGACGTCAAAGTCATTCAGATTCTCCGAGATCCGCGCGGAAGCTTGGACTCTAGAATTAAATTAGGCTGGATGCCAAAACACACATCGCCCTCGTTCAC